GACAAGTTTTACAACGGGCGAAACCACTAGACAATGGCAAAGAGAACAAGATGGTGGTTCAATATTGCACCGTAAAAGTTAAAAATAGGCTTTTAAGTAGCCTAACAAGTAAATTACAATAAAAGTGCAGGCTCGGGTTTACTTGTACTTTCTTTCTCTCTCTCTCTCTCTCTCTCTCTCTCTCTCTCTCTCTCTCTCTCTCTCTCTCTCTCTCTCTCTCAATCGCTTTGTTTTTGAGAGATGAAGGCGAACATGGTAATCAGCTGGGACGACGTAATCGCCAAAGTGTCGTCCCAATGCAAACAAGAATTTAGGGGCGTCTTTGAACCCAAGTCACCGACTCCGCTATCGAAAGGCGCGAAAAAAATGAGGCGCACTTTTCACTTTCCAAGCAGACGACAGACGAGAGAATGGACCCCCGATTACTTTGAGAGAGAGAGAGAGAGAGAGAGAGAGAGAGAGAGAGAGAGAGAGAGAGAGGGAGGGAATTTATGTCTAGAGTTAACAGGCCTACAGTAACAGGCATTGGCGTATAGTTATGTACATTGGTGTCGGGGGGGGGGGGGGGTTGGGGTGTACAAATAATGATGATCCATGTATCTACGCAAGAAAATAAAAAAATTCTTGACCCAAATTTTATTGGACCAAGGGGGAGGGGGAGGCCGATACATGTCTTTCTATCCTTTCAATTCTTAGTTGGTATTATTTCTATTTTTATATAAAATTTTTTTTTTTAAAGATTAGTAACAGCGACTTCACTTGATTTGTATTTAGCGGTATTGGCAAGCGAGCAAAATATGTATTGGCCATTTTTTCATTAGAATTACTGTTTTAAGACAGATAGGTTATTTAATTATTGCATGCATACTTTCTTAATTTGTATGTTGTAAGATATTGCAGATTGGTCTCAATCCAGAACATAACTTCAGCTGTCTAGTAATTCTCTTTCAGGGTTTAGCTCATAGTAATACAAATCCATAAATCAAGTTTGCCCGTTCCTTCATTTTTGAAGTTTGGCTTCATAATCAATACCAAATATTTTTTTTGCGGCTGAGCGGAACTTCTTTTGAGAAAATGTGTAATCTATGATTTTTTTAAACCATATTATGGATTCTTCAATTTTATAGGCTACTACATTTTTTGTTTTACTTGGTCAGAAATTTGTCGGTGGTCTAGGAAAAACCTGCCTATTTTAAAATACGCTTGCGGTTAGAGGCAGACTAGACAGCTTGAATATTACTTATATTTACTGTTTTTAAAAGGGAGACTGAGGAAATGGAAGGTGATTGCACAGCAGACTTGCAAAGAAGAAAAAAAGAAAAGAAATACATACTGATAGAACGGTTTTGTACTGTCAATTTCGCCATCTGCGCTAGTTTGGCCAGGAGGGATTAGACCTCCCTGCTTGGTCACTGGCAGGTGGTTATCTCACCAAATCAGCTCTCAATTAACATAAGAAAAAGGGGACCATGGGGAATCAACGGGTACCGCTTAGGTAGTGTTGGCTATACATAGAGGGCGCAAGTAGAAGTAGTGCAATCCACTTTTCGATTGTGTAATCTAAGAAAAGGGGAAGAAACATGTCAACAAAGCAAAATAATGAAGAATTGGTTTACTGCCGAGGTCCAAGTCCCTTTCCCCTCCAGTTATATTAGGCACCAATCAAATGAACGTCTTTCGGTCCTTATTCAACATTATGTCTTGTATCCATTTTCGCGATATTTCTTTGAATTAATCTGAGCTTATCGTTCCTATCTTATTAATCTGATTATGTTCTTAGTTTGTAACTTTAATTTGTAATATTTCATTTTATTTCTACTGTCACTTATTACTACCCTTTGTTAGCTTCCACTATTTGTTTTCTTTATATTTCTAGTATTTGTAAGCTTTTTGAATCCTCATTTTTAGAAACAAGCCGGGACCTTTTAAACAGAAAGGCTACACAATGTATACAACCAAAAGTTAAAGTTCTATGACGTCATACAATGATACTCAAGATTAAAGCTTCATTCCAAGATCTCGACTCAGTCGGCGAGCCATGGCAATAACAACACTTGCATTCGACGCCACAGAGCGAAAGTGCACCAGTACTTTTCGGCTTCCAGAAAATAATTGAATTCCGTTTTCTTCATTTCGCACTTCGAACTCCAATTTCTTGAAGTGACATCTAGCCGGGTAGCAGAATGGGAAATGCTACGTATGTTTGGATAACACCGATTGCAAAGTCATTGTGGAATCTGTCTCTTTCTCTCCTTTCGCCAATTATAGTAACACTGCTTGCAACAAATGTTTTCCGAACGTTACGTATACCTCTATACCGAAAAATCAGTCTTTTTATTGGGGAATATGTTCCGCTGAGACTACGTCACCCTCAAAAGCGAAAAGATGTTAAAAAAAAACTTACAGAAGAGGTAGCCTTATTCAATCGGCTACTTAAAGTGTACTTGCCAAAATTATTGAGTGTAAAACTTAAAAAACTTTTTATGAGATTTCTAAATAATCTTGTATATATTACAACGTAGGGCCTACTAACATCGAACTACACCGGAATTCAAAATAAAACATGTGTCATTCTAATTTTGGAAAGACTTCAGAGAGATTAGGCAAGAAACAACGGAGACAGTTATTCATAACATGATCCGAAAGACTTTTGAAACATCAAGGGAATTACCTTTTGAACTGCGCCAACACTACAATAATATATATTACGTAATCAATAGGGAATTGAAATTGCTCATTTTTTCGAAAGTCTTTGTAATCTTCTTTTACACCAATTTAGAAGGATGAAACAGGACCCCAACCAGAAAAAAGTGAGGAAAAAAGGAAACAAATATGAATGGATGTTGGGAGATCCCCCCCCCCCCGACCACCACCCTCACACACTCACTCCAAAAGTAAGAAATTCTTTTGCAATATTTGACATGCGTGGAGGGGAGGAGCAATGAAGGAGTATAATCAAAATTTAAAAAAAAATCAGAAAAAACACTCAATAACTCAGAGCCTAATTGTACAATTTTTGAAGCAATCAACTAAGGGAACCACGCGGACATGGGTTTTATAGTGACCAGTGTCCAAGCTCTCTCCTTATCTCTCTCTCTCTCAACCAACGTCTCATCTCTCATTCCACATTTTTCCCCGCAAGAAAAAGATCAAATCCACACTATGTCTCATTCAGTTTGAAACCTCTACACGAGGTGGCGCTATTCCACTTGTACACTTGGTATAGCAGTGTTATTTCCTTTCCACCAGCCTCTCGATCTCACTCTTTCTCAATTCTCTACCAACCAACCTCTTATCTAACGTTACCCCACTTTTACAGTAAAAAAAAGAACAAAAATCGAATCCACGATATATATCGTTAAGCTTGAAACCTCTCCACGAGATGACATTATTCCACTTGTACACTTGGTATTGGAGTGTTATACACCTCTCGATCTCACTCATTTAAACAATCTCAAAGAAGAAATGTACAGGTGTATAAATCCATGTATATATATATTCTATTAACTGTAAATATATGTTCAAATAACTCATAAATATTTTCATTATATAAAATGATAAAGAAAGATATAATTGATGGTATCTTCCATTTTAAAACACAGGCAAGTTAACACATATATAAAGAACTAAATAATGTTGTCCTTTTCTGTCTGTTAAAATGATTTGTTATGAAGTTTTTTTATCAACACTCTGGCTATTCATGATGTCGTTGAGTCAGAACTTTCATATAATATCATATATTTTATATATATATATATATTATAGTACTACATCTTCCCTTGATAATAAAATAATATGAATTCCATCAATTCATTCTTAAATAGTTGCTATGTTTATACACCTTCATTGCAACTTTTGCAAGTCTTTCATAGTAAAGACCAATATTCTCTAAAGAAATTGTCTCTTCAACAGCAGTTATAGGATTAGAACACTGAAATGTTTTACCTAATTTTCTATGAACAGGGAATTTGCCATGTGGAACATTTTGAATGGTGGGTGGGTCAACTATAATTTTGAAGACAAATTTAGCAAAACGCTTGGCAACAAGAAAGTAAACAGGGGGGCGTTTCATAAAGCTGTTCGTAAAGTTACGCATGACTTTACAAACGACTTGTATATGAAGAGCCAAATGGGATGCTCAATCATCATTGATTATTATTTATTAAGTTGAACTGTGCAGATGTAGATTAACATTCTTATTATAACAACCATTTTTAATGCAAAGTATATTTTTTGCCATAATTTAATTGAGTTTATTGGAAATATCAGAAAAAACTTTGGGCATCCTATCTGGCACTTCATATACAAGTCGTTTGTAAAGTCATGTGTAACTTTACAAACTCTTTATGAAACACCCCCAGGTTTGTTTTCATTGTATTGAGTAATCAAAATAAGTTTAATGTGGAATCTTCACAGAAATTCGGTGGAGGATCCAGTAGGGTGTGGGGGGGGGGGGGGGGAGAGGCATATGTATGATCCAAAACATGGCAAGGCAACTCACTGATCTTGTTTGCATTTCACAAAGACAAATTGTACTGCTTGGAATTGTCCACATATGAAGCCAAGTCACAGGTGCCAGGAAAACTGCATGTATCTTTTCATATTCACACATCAAACATCCAAGATGAAGAACCTGAAACAGTCCAAATACGCAGCCAGCATTCTCGGACTTCTGATGTTCAAACTCTTATCCAATATCAGTCTACTTTAAGTCATGCAACATACCGCTTTTGTTGCATTTTGTTACACGTACAGTGTCTATAGAACATTTTTAATTGACTTTTGTCACATATGAAGATCCCAGGGTTGACTCATTGCCATCAGGACAAGGGTCAGGGTGGCTCCTATATCAAAGTCTATGGGAATAAAACAACCCAGTATTCAATGGGTTAAAGCCCCACTGCACTACTTGTAGCCACTTGCTTCCTCTATATAGAAAACAATGCCTAAGTGGTGCCCGTTGGTCCCCCATGATCCTTTTTTTCTTATGTCAATTGAGAGCCGAGTTGATGAGATAACCGCCTGCCAGTGACCAAGCTGGGTGGTCTAATCCCTCTTGGCCAAACTAGTACAGACAGGCTTTAAGACCTTCATTAACTGACGTGGCCGTTGTCGTACGAAACAGAGAGAGGTCTCTCCGCACACACCTTGGCTATCCTGATGCATGCTTCATCTGACAATGTAAGCTTCACGCCGTAGAACATGATCTTCTCCAGTTTGGGACATCCTTCGATGATCGCCAGCAGGTCGCCTTCGGTGACGCCCGTGACCCAGGAGAGGTTGATGGTCTGGAGGTGGGGAAGGTGTTTGGGGATGGTGCGCAGGGAGCTGCCTGTCAGGTGGCTGCAGGTGGTCAGGTTCAAGACCCTCAGCTCTGAAAGCCTCTGAGAGTAGGAATGGGAGAGAGAAAGAGAGAGTAAGAGAGAAAGAGAGGGGAGAGAGGGGGGAGAGAGAGGGAGAAAAAGTGGGAGGGAGTGTAAGAGAGAGAGAGAGAGAGAGAGAGAGAGAGAGGGAGGGAGAGAGAGGGAGAAAAGGTGGGAGGGAGTGTAAGAGAGAGAGGGAGAGTAAGAGAGAGAGAGAGAGAGAGAGGGAGAGGAAGAGAGAGAGAGGGAGGGAGAGGAAGAGAGAGAGAGGGAGGGAGAAAGAGAGATAGAGGGAGAGAGAAAGAGAGATAGAGGGAGGGAGAAAGAGAGGGAGAGTAAGAGAGAGAGAGAGAGAGAGAAAGAGAGATAGAGGGAGAGGAAGAGAGAGAGGGAAGGAGAGAGGGAGAGAGGGAGAGAAAGAGAGGAATTGGTAAAGATAGGTAGAGAGACAAAGTTAAGGGGGAGGGGCAGACAAAAGAATTCAGAGAATTAATTGGTATCAAACTTCTCTGATACCTCCTACCACCCCCCAAATAATAATAAGGTTTTTAAGTTCAGCAGGGGTGATAAAGGTTCCTACGTGAACTACGACTGTGACATTCTTACAAAACAAAACAACAAAGAAAACATAATTATTACAAATTGTTAGTGTAACATTTTACTACATCATTCACTTTGTATAACAATGTATCCTATTTTGCCCCTCAATCAATCATGAAGAAGTGAAAATGTAAAGACACATTCATTATTCTGTGAACTAAAAGCCACACATAAAGTCACATTATACTTCATACCTTCATAAGGAAAATGATGGCATGATCCGTGACGACGTATCCGCAATCCTTCAGGTTGAGGTGTCGGAGGTTCGGACACTGTTGGGTGATGATCTTGGGGGCTCTCTGGGTGATGAGGGCGCCAGATAAGTTGAGGGTCTCGATGTACGGGCCAAGAAGGTTCTCTAAGGCCACATTGGTCAGCTTTCCTCTTCTTTTTAACTTGTGCAATATCTCACTGTCAGAAGATAATAATAATGATAATAAATAATAATGGCCTCTTGTACTGTGCTAACGTCCATCATGCAATGATGCTTCTGGTACTCCAACAGTATTACTCTGTCATAACCAATTGCCCACATATGTAGCGCTCTAGCATATAAACAATTATTTACACTTGGGTTGAGAGTGGCAAACATGGATTGCTAAAGGATGTTAGTGTCAGGATGAGATTTGAACCCTCAGCCTATTAATTGTAAGTCAAGTGAATGAACCACTATACCACGACAAAATGCCAGAAGTGACCCCAGCGCATTGGTTTCAGACCTACTAACCACCAGTAACCAAAAATGCAGCAATCATATTTTTAAAGAAATTTAAAGTAATTCCGCCTCTCCATATCTGACTGTCTGTCTGTCTGTCTGTCTCTCTCTATCTCTCTCTCTCTCTCTCAGTACCATTCGCCTATCCATTACTCACTTCACAAGGAACTCATCGGGGCAATCTTCCAGGGAGTAGTTCTTGATATTTGTACAGATATGCTCCATGCAACATTCCAGCAGGCGTTGCACCTTGGTTTCCTCATGGTAAGGATTCTGCAGAGAATACCAAAAAAAAAACCCAGTGTAAACACCAAAATAACTTGTTCCGAATTCAATCTTAAGAGAGGATTTAATCAAATGTAATAAAAGGTGGGTAATTCAAGGGCATATGTCAAAGCACACATTTTAAAACTCTTTGTCTGCTTTTGTCAACGAATGGAACATGCATTTAGGCTGCCATCGTCAACTTTTGTCACAGCTTTCAAATATGTATCTAAAATACTCCATGGAGGTGTGATGGCTCAGCGATAGAGCAGTTGTCTCGATACCAGAAGGTTCCAGGTTCAAAACTAGGCTGATATGCTAGTGCCCTTTGGTAAGGCATAAGTCTGCATTACTAAGTCCCGCGGAGAGGACTTAAAGCCATCAGTCCCCTGGTTGATTCCTTTAAAGCATGCAAATGCTTTTTAGCAGTCAGTTAAATACAAATCAACGAAGTGGCAGTCTAGAATCTAAATCTGTAGCAGGTTACGCATTATGTTACTACTACTCACATTATAGCTACGTTTCGTTTCATTTCTTTGTGGATGGTGGTGACAGCCATACCAAAATCATTGTCCCAGGATCACATAAAGCATTGCTTCCACGGAAGACAAGCATAATTTATCTGACATAACTACAACCTCCTCTCAAAAAAAAATCCATAATCTGTCCAATTTTCATCATTATTTTGGAAAAAAATTTGAATCAGTATTAATGCTTCTCCAGGCGAATCCTTTTTTTCAAAGTTCCCTAAACTATTTGGGACCTGTACATATTTTCAACTTGATATTTTTCAAACAAAAATTTGAATTAAATTCCAATTCTATACAAAGTTGTAATCCATTTAAAATCAGTTCAAACAACCTTTTGGGAAACTATTATCTAGGATTTAGAAGGGGGTTATACAAACTGGCTGCAGCACTGACTGTAACATGATAAAGATGACTTACTCTCTCAAATCTTCTGTTATAGCTGGCTCTCACATAGGTGATGTTGTTTACTTTTTTATCCTCGTATCTCCGCTTGCCGTTGAAGGATTTGGATAGCCTGACCTCCTGGAGCACCTCCTCTGCAGTGTACCGCTGAAGAAGGGAAACTTTGACCAGGTCATCTAACTTCACAAAACCTGAATATTTTAGATCAGAAACAGTAATTATTCAGGCATTAGACCATTTTGGAGATAGCACATGTACCAAATGACCACCAAATTTCAACATGGAGTCTTACTTTTTGATTTTGGTATAATTACTGTCAAATAATTGATCGCTTCATGAATACCTTTTGTTTGCCCTCTTGAACAGAATACTTCCACCTGTAAATCATAGAATGTAGCATTGGTGCTTAAATTAATAATGATCTCATAATATTTCATGAACAGTACATATCCAGTATTCGTCTCAATAGGTTTTACAGTTTTCTACAAATGGTGTTATCCACCCATGCACAGATTATATCTACAAACTAGCTTATTCCAATTTCTATTTGATTCTCATTGCATTTTCAAATAGTAATAGTAGTAATTATGATGATGATGAAAATAATCATTATGAAGAAAGAAAATAGTAATACTAACATTAATAAAAACAACATCATTACTACTACTACTACTACTACTACATAACTACTACTACTAAGGCCTAAAAAAAAAATTGATGACTTGGCGTAACCCGCCCGACCCTATTTTTATCGCCGACCCTACGCTTTTTTTTTTTTTTTTTAAAATTTTTTTCTTAATTTTTTTTTAATTTTTATTTATTTTAATTTTTTTTTGATAAAGGATTCTGAAATACTGGAGACATTTTTTTAACTGTTTGTTATTACAGAGCCATTCACAATTGTAAATATTTTCACAAGTTGTAATTGGCTACTCTTTTCAACCCTCATTCTTCAAGATTTTGGATACATGTTAACATGTTAACATGTTAACCTCTAGACAAGTTATATAAATGCTAGTCAATACAGTGTGAAAATACTAATATTTGTGAACAGCCCCTTCTAAACCTACATATTCACCTGTTTATCCTGTTGAAGACAGTGTCTGAGATATCTCAGGCTGGGGTCTGTTGGAAACCTATTAATGCGTTCGTATGTTTGCATTTTATGTGCATGAGGGTGTATGTACATGTATGTATGCAGGGGGGGGGGGGCAGGTGTATGTATGCACCCCCCTGGTCCCAAGGTGATCAAGATTTCAACAATTTCTTGCTCACTTTGCTCACACAGTGTGTGTGTCCATATATGTGTGTGTGTGTGTGCGTGGAGTTATTTGAACATATTGTGGTCTACCCCTCTCATCAGATCATCCCCAAGGTCTGAGGACCTATCTACGCCACTGTATGTATGTATGTGTATGAATGGGTAATTTCATGTATGCAAATAAAGCAACAACAACAACAACAACAACAAAAAAAAAAAAAAAAAAAATCGCCCTACCTACCCTAATTTTCAGTGACCCGTTACGCCAAGTCATCAATTTTTTTTTTTAGAATGATGATTGTGATAATGATGATGATGATGATGTCACTAGCTATATATATATATCTAAAGTACTTTCACCAAATGATACAAAGGTACTGAATACTACTATAATCCCGGGTTTCGCTGAGCTACTTCAATCTCTTCCTACCAGGTACCTACTTCACCTGGGTGGAGAGCGGCAAACATACCTTGATCGCACACCGACAATCCTTCCTGCTTAGCTCCGTATCTCAGTAGATAGGATAGTTTCTTGCCCAGTCGTTCACTATGTCTTTCTCTCTGTTCTTTCTCTCCGTTACTTTCTCCTTCCGCAGCTGGTATGGGTTCTTGCAACATTTTGAATGATGGATCATGGAACCGAAAGAATCTGGGGAAATAAAGAAAATTAAAAGTAAACAATCAGAGACTTCATTTGAAGAAATGGTGGATTCTGATATAGCTATACAATTACTACAATAAAAGTGCAGAACAGTGTGTGTATGTATTTTTGGGTTTTTACAGACGTGTATCAATCAGATATGAACATTTGTGTCATTTCGTTCAAACAGATTGAAGTTCATTTCATATATAACTCAGTGTCTCAAGTTTAAAGGGAAGTGGAAAACACATATCACATGAACATTATCAAAGTATTTCAAAAAACAATCCTGAAGTTTTAATGAATTATACTTTTATTAGTATCAGACTAGAACTCTAAGTCTAACCAAGACATTGGTCTCAAGTTTTTTCCCTTTGATGCACACATAGCTGCGTTACTAACCTGGTGGTGTTTTAAAAACCTGTTCTATTGATTCTCAAGATTTCAACACCACTGTACAAAACTCAACTGATTTCACTAAAAAAAAGGTACTTTAGTGACAATTGATGACACCTAAATAGCAGTAAAATACAATTTTGTCAACTTACCGATGTTAGAAAGAACTAATCAAAAATTAAAATCGTGAGTCCACTGTCAAACTTGCTTACAATTACGGCCACATCAACATCATGTGTGCAATTGCTGCCTATTAGCACATAGTGCAGCGCTAGAGTTCAATACGCATTAGCATTGACCCTCTATACTTTGCCTTTGCTGGAGTGCCTTTGAGTTTGATGCAGTGTGTTTAAACATTTAACTCCACACAGAGTTTTACAAGTGTCCTTGGCGAGTTACTGTAGACAGACACATACACAGGGTCATAGACGCGCAGCAAGTATGTGGAAGTATTCATGATTTCACCAAAACTATTAAAGGTATTGGAAACGCCCCAATTTCAAAAAATGAAATGGAAGCTCTTTATTACCAATCATGTGAAAGAATATGTTTTGACTAATACGTGATGATAAAAATTTTGCCAGGAAACCGCCTACTAACTGATATATTAGGTAAATTAGTTTATCTATTGGACTGTGAGAGATAAACGCACGTGTCGCGCACGTGTACGTAATCCCATATACATCTTTCTGTGCACAGTGCTTGTAACTTTACGAAGACTGGGCCAAATTTCTTATCATTTTGATGATTCTAGAACCTTGCAGTACACACCAATACTTATATGCTAGATGATCAATCTTTTCTGATCGATTCCACAACGTTTCTTTCACAATCCAATCGCATGACCATAACTGGTCTTTACCTTTAACTACACACTCCTGCAAAGCATATAGAGAGTCAATGCTAATGCGTATTGACCTTTAGCACTGCACTAAATGTTAATAGGCAGCATTTGGGAACATGAATAGTCAATACACTCATAACACACAGATGCACACAATCATCCCAATTCGGCTGATCAGCAAGTTTGACAGTGGACTCACAATTTGAATTTTTAAATTATTCTTTCCAACATTGGAAAGTTGAAAAAAATTGTATTTTACCGCTATTTACACTGTACGTGTCATCAATCGTCACTAAAGTACCGAATTTAAGTGAAATCAGTCAAGTTTTGTACAGTGGGGTTTGAAATGTTGAGAATCAATAGCACAGTTTTTAATACACAGCCAGGATAGTAATGTACCCGTAATTAACGGTGTATAAACCGCACCTTTTTGCCGCCAAAAGTTTTTCTCGTATGTGCGATACCATAAACCATACGAGAAGTCTGCATAATTTTGTACTGATAGCTTCAGTTTGAGGTGCAGGACTACAGCGTAGAGACGGTACTGAGCGACGACGTCGACATCGAATGTGATCCAAATTCAGGTGGAAAATGCAATTTATGATTATTATTAAAATTAGTAAAAAATTAGTAAAAATTTGGGCTAAAATTCATTTGCTAAGAATGGATATTAAACTGCTAAAACAAATGGATACGGAACTACACTAGGGCCGGGGTGTGACCTTAAGCTCTAGAAAGAAAAAAAAAGTGTGGTTAATACACGAGGGCGGTTTATACAACGTTAATTACGGTATGTATGTTAACTACAGTGCTCAAACTCAATCTAGCACGCATATACATTACAAACAAAATTACTGTAATGTGGGACTGAGCTATACATTTCCGCATTTAAACAGTGTTATTAATCTACATAAACAGCATTCAAAGAGGATGACAGTACTCACCAAACACTTTCTCTAACTCTTGCTCAGAAATACTGATAGTGCATATACAAAATTGGCTATTTAAAAGCCATCATGATGCAATATTCGGTTCGGAAGGCACAATGCAGCCGACTCAACAGGAGGCAAAGGCATTGCACAACATTGCGAAAGTGCAAAGATGAGTAGTCTTACTTCAAAAACAAATACATAAATAAAAATATATTTCTCTCAATGATTAGGAAATATAAGTAGCAAATTATTTCGTCATGGTAAATATAATTTATTTACTCGAGTAAAAAAGAATTAATTTGTATAAAAGGCTCTCTAAAATAGAATTAAACCCCTCCCCACGGTTGCAAAGAAGAATACTTTTACCGGTATGCCTAAATCTTCATAGAGAAGAGGGTATGCAGTAGGCTATACAAAGAACAACGCTTTATGTCCCATAGGCCAAAACAATGAGAGAAAAAAAAAATTAAATTCCAACGGCATTTGAGAGATAATCTTAATTTAGAACTTTCCTCAACACAAAAGGGCTTGAAAATGTCTTTTTGTGAGAGAGAAAATAACGACCGTAATTGTCGAATCGAATTTTACGATCGCGGTCGTACGTTTTTTGCGCTGCGCAAAGATTCAATCAGTTTGATTTTGGCCTTACAAGAAGTGGGTTAATGATACACCATGTACCCTTTACAGCTCATTTTAAGTATGTTATTACCAAAGAAAAAAAAAGAAGTAAGCCAGTCACTCAATAGTGTCTGACAGTGAAGTCTAAAATATGCGAACTTTTCAATGGTATATTTAAGCATGATTTCTCTAGAAATCAATGCAATAAGCATTTCAAATTTCCATAATTTGTTTATTTCCTAAAAATCTTCGTGGGCGAGTCTGTTTCAAGAAACTGATATGGAGATCAGTCACCCTCCCACGTACCAGCATGATTACTTATTCTAATCATCACACAAAGTCATTCGTGATCTGGAAACTTGCATTGTTTTGTCATGTTTGCATTTAAAAATATTCGATTCCGTGCAAACAAAATATCACTCTCTCTTTCTCTCTCTATCTATCTCGCTCTCTCCATCTTTTTTCTCTTCTTCTTCTCGTTCTTCTTCTTCTGCCCCTTCTTCTTTTTCTTCTTCTTCATAAGTTCTTCTGCTAATTTCTCTTATTTTCTTCTTCTTCTTCTCCTTTTCCCTCTCCAACTCCTTCTTCTTCTCCTTCTTCTTTTTCTTCTTCTTCTTCTTCTTCTTCTTCTTCTTCTTCTTCTTCTCCTTCTTTTTCTTCTTCTTCTTCTCCTTCTTCCTCTTCGTCTCCCTCCCTCTCTCTCTCTCATTCTTACTCTCACTCTCTTTCTCCCCTTCTCTTTTTCAGTTTCTCTTTCTTTCATTTTCTTTCTTTCTCCCTATCTCTCTACCAGTCTTTGAATGAAAGAAACTGAAAAAAGCCGATACAATGATTAATAATGATAATCTTTTAAAGTCCACTCCAAATTTTATTAAGTTAAACCGAAAATGGAAATTCTTTTTGCCCAATAGTGAGCCCGCGAATTTTTTATGACGTAACATATCAGCCAATCAAATGACCGGAAATATTAGCATTGGCAAACCTGTTTGGGAAAAATTAGCGGCCCGGCAGCCACTGAGCAGCGCCAGATCGACGTTGCTCTATCCAAACAAGGTAGCAGCAACTCCCATCTTTTAACGTCTTTTGGTATGACGCGGACGGGGTTCGAAACCACGACCTCCCGGTTGTGAGGCGGACGCTCTACTGACTGAGCAAACACACCGGGGCAAGTGCTAAGGAATATGTCATACCACACAGAAAACCCAAAATTATATTTCATATTTGCATCACGTTTGTGATTTCAAGATAGTAATGTTTCTCGGTAATGGACTAAAATAATGATTTCTTTCTCGAGACGACAACGGTAGCAGAATAAATTTCCATTGCAAGCATCGCTCTCATTTGTTTCTTTTTCTATTCTTAGGCCCTGTACAGAGTCGTACCCATTTACAAGTTGATCGATTCCCTTGACAGCCTATAACATAAACTGTTATACGTATGTTACACTTTGCACATTAGACCAAAGTCCGGGCCAGACGTCACCCCAGACGTCACCGATAATAATAACGCGATTTTTCATGAAAGGTACCTCTACCAGCTGCACGCCCGATTCGTCACGTAAACACGCTTGTTCATACTTACGCACATCACACTATAATGTACCTTAAAGTTAATACAAAGTTTTGGGAAATTTTGAAAATTGGAAGGATAGTAATTCTTTACAATTTTGATATATTTCAACTTTCCAAGCATTACGAAATGACGTTCCCAGAGGATTTTCTAATTTGAATAAAGAATTTCATCCTATGAAAAAGTACGTAGGCCTACAAAGTACAAGACTAGTGTAGGAATCCATTTAATAAATGATATGTATTCTTCTTAATAAATTATTGACACTAAAAGCTATTATTCTTATATACGAATGAAAAACAACATGTTTCAAACATTAATGATTTACAAATTCTTAAAAAGTATAGGAATCCATGTTTCCCCTTCTAAATCGATGATTTACACTGAATACCATGATTTGTAACCTTACAGAATGTAATTTGTACAAAATTAATGCAAAACAACATATTTCATACACTAATGATTAACAAATTCTTAACAAGTGTGGGAATCCATTTTTTCTCTTCTAATTCAATTATTGACACTGAATGCTATCCTTACAAAAGTAATTTGTACATTATTGTGCTTCGTGAGCACCTTTTGTTTGCTCTCACTTGAATATCATAGAACATACCGTCAGTGCATAAATAAATAAAGTTTTCACAACCTTCGTGAGCGCGCATCCAGTATTCGTCTCGTTAGGTTTTTACATACAGTCAAATGTGCTATTAAAAAATATCTTTTTATAGTGTTCAGTTGCTTTGGACAAGTTCACATTGTGATAGCTCAAAAGTGTATCAGCACTTCTTGAGGCCAGATTGTTTATTCAATTTAAAATCCCTATAGGTCACTGTCATCAGACAGGTAATTATCATAATCATCAATAACTCTCCACTCTTTTCTCGAAAAGATCCGAATTTCTTTTCCGACAATCACGATAGCACGGTCATTGCCGTAATTAGTCATGCTCAGCCTTTTATCAACTGTAACGCCATCAGATGCGTCGAGCTTGTCGGTGATGTACTCGAGGAGACCACCATCATCCAAAGAATGCTTGGTGAGCGTGAAGGTGCGGCTTCCACAGGAGGAGGATAGAACGTAGAGGGCGTCACTCTCTGTGCAGGAGATGGACAAGTACATCCTGCCAGGCTCCTTGATTTCATGCTGGACTCTCCCGTCTTCGTCAGTGATGATGACGGCTTTCTTGTCACCTTGAAGAAACGCAAGCTGACCAGTCGTCGCCGCAGCAACGCTTGCAACCCCGAAAGGAACTTCAAAGCTATCACTTTTTGGATTATGATATGATCTTGAAACCCCCAAAATATTGGGTCTATGTCTGTATACTGTTGCGAAATGTGTCTTCTGCTCTGCTGGTGTTGTCGACGATGACGTTTTCTTTACGGCTCCCAGATCTTTTTTTCGCACAACAGTTGGCGACAAGCGGCCTTAAAATGATAAATGTCAAGAACAAAGCAGACAGAATGTTTTTGAAAGAAAACACACTAAAACTCTCTTATTTACATCAGTTAGAAATGAATGTAATATTTGACTCGACAATCATACTCGTATTATTACATACGTCATACAAAGGAAAGTCATAAAGATTGAACAAAGTAAGCAAATAAAGTGACAACTTTATCTCTGACAATGCTTTTGTACTTATCAGTATCCATTCATAGAAACTAGCTCTCATATTAAAGTATGTAATCGAATATAGTTGATTGGGTATGTGTGGGTGTGAGGTGCAGGGGGGGGGGGGGGGTTGCGTAGGGGCGGTGGATCGGTGATCCTAGTGACAGGCCCAAAATATTGACACCACTGTTTTCATTAATAAAGTACAAGCCGCTTGTATTTCCGAAAATAGACAGTACATAAAAACCAAATGACGTTTATATTCAAGGTTTTACTTTCTTAACTAGAGTATATAGGGAGATACAGGAAATTTGAGCCACGCTCTATTCAGAGTTCAGAAGGGTGCGTAGTATATTTGGAGCCTCCCCCCCCCTTAAAAAAAAATGATTAGCATCGCTGTCTTTTTAGCATCAGTAGGCAGAGATGTGGGAGTATAACACATACACAAGTCACAACAAATTCCCAATACAACACAACGGGAGCTAGAGGAAGCCCCCCCCCCCCCCCATAAAAAAGGGTTTGATAAAGGAATTGTCATTAAATGAGAGTAATTCATAAGAGGTGTATTGATAACTTGCGTGATAAAGAATGCCCTAATTTCTTTCCAAATACTAGAATGCTATATAGAAATAGGCTTTTATTTTAATGGAAAATATCGGAGAATTGTGTTAGCTATCAAGTATTTTCTGGCTATTCGTAATTTAGTTTATGATATTTCTATATTTCTTTACAATGTGGTTCAACTCTCCAACAAGTTTCAACAAAGCAGGGTTCCAAGTCATTGGAAGAGGTCCATCATTGTTCCTGTTCCCAAAGAAACTCCTGCGACGTTACAGAAGTTGCGCCCTGTCGCCCTGACTGACTTCTTCGCGAAGTTGTTGGAACTGTTTGCATCTAAAATGATCTTGAATGACATATCTCACGAAATCGATCCTCAGCAGTTCGGCAATCGTCCTGGTTGGTCAACGAGCCATTACCTTTTAAGCCTGCTGGAATACCTCCATTCGAATGCTGACAAATCTGGATCAATTACGAGTGTGGTGCTTACGGATTTTTCCAAAGCCTTCGACTTAGTAAACCATAACGTAGCAATCACAAAAATCTACACAATGGGTGCACGGCCATCCTTACTTCCTTGGTTATGCAGCTTCCTTGGTGAGCGAACTCAGCAAGTGCGGTACAAAGACCAACTTTCAACAACACTCGCCACTTCAGTCGGTGTTCCTCAAGGGACGCGACTTGGACCTCTGGTTTTCTTAGCCACTGTCAACGATGCCCTCCAGTCATCTGACTGCTCTAGATGGAAGTATGTAGATGACCTTACTGTTGCAGAAACACGCCGATCAAATTCACCAAGTTGTCTTAATGCTACATTGTCTGTATTTGAAGAATGGTGTAAGGACTCGAATATGCGTCTAAACCCATCCAAATGCCAACTCATGAGGGTATCATTTGCTCGTCGACAGCTCCCACCAGCGGAAGTTATGATCGGCGAAA